CCCCCCCCCCCCCCAGCTGAGAGCTTGACATAAAATAACACTAATTTGGTAAGAGCATATTATTTTTGCAATCAATAATGCCACCCTTTTCAAAATAAGTGCTGACTTGACATGCAGACCCAAAGGGTTGAAGTTTCATAGTTTTTAATGTTAACTACTTGGGACTTAACACTTTTTGGATAGAAAGATCCCTAACCTTGCCTACAACGATTGATAGTGAATACACTGTCCAAATAATAACACATATCCTAACCACTATGTTAACTGATGGTGAAAAGCCAGGGGTGGGGGATGGTTCAATGAAGGAATTCAGACAGAATTGTCATTTGTGATACCAGGAATGCATCTTACATTTCTGACTGGAAGGGACACTCTAAACCTACTCAGATAAAGCATAACTGAGAGACATTTTTAGTGACTTTAGAGTCAGGGGCTCCTGTAAAGGGACAATGAAGCCCCTTTCTCTGAAGCAAGTGCATAGAACACTTGAGATTGTATGTACACACACACACACACATGCGCGCACACACACGCTCCTCATTCTTTTCCATGGTACATTTACTGCTTCATAGTACCCAGTTAACAAAAATTAAACTCTAGTCTGTGTTCTTCAAAAGTTCTCCCAAAGAATTTTAAATTATTCACATTTAATTATAAAAACTGTACTAGGCTAGAGAAGCTTTTGTTTTTGTTATTTTTATTATAAAAATGTTCCTATGAACCCAAAGGTAGAGTACTGTAATTAATAACCATATGCTCATCTCCCAGAGTCAATGATTATCAAGACTTTAGATTTGCCTCATTTTTCTCCTTCCTTCTCCTGCCTACATTTCCCCTCCCTCTGTTCCTCCTTCCCTCCCTTCTTCTCTCTTTTTCTTTCTCTTCTCTCTTTTTATTTGGTTGTAAAGTATTTTGAAGGGAATCCAGACTTTATACCATTTTCTCTCTACACACTAAATACACATCTCAAAAATATAGAGAATTTTTTGCAAAGCTACAATGTCATTATGAAATCCCTCAAATTAATAATAATTTCTTAGAATCATCTAATATTTGTTTAGAGGGATTTTAAGGATTAAAATCTAGGAACCGTGAGGATAGCAGTGAAGAGGGGTTAGGGAAAAGAAATGACTCAATTTTTGGGGTCTCTCAGGGAAGAGGCTGAGAGAGTGATGGTGGAAGGCAGGTGAAGAGGGAGAGGCAGGCAGGCTCTGATGGCCGTGATATGCTCTGATGCAGGGTGAGAAACAGAAAGTCTGGCAGGGTGGTCATGACAGGTGGAGCCATCAGGCAGCTGGGGGCCACGATGCCTATAGGAAAAAGAGAGAACCACAGTGGAGAAGGAAGACAGAGAGAGGAACTCCTTTTTGTCTGGCCTATCTCATCACCATTTGTGTATTAGGGTGTAAGCAAGTTGAACCACATATACTAGAGATTGCCCCTGATCCTAAAGGCAACAAAATTAATACACAAATAATGAAAATGATGGGAAGTTTGTCTTGAATTCTCATATTCTCAGCAGTGTATCAGTATAGATGTTTTCATTTCTATGATTTTTTTAGAGAGAGAAAGAGAAGAGGTTGAGTTACATTGTTTTGTTTTTCCACTTAGTTGTGCGTTCATTGGTTGATTCTTATATGTACCCTGACCGGGAATGGAACCCACAAGCTTGACATATCAGGATGATGTTCCAACCAACTGAGCTACCTGGACAGGACTTAAATGTTTTCGTAACTTTAGACCTGTGAGGGGATTTACATACTGGGGAGTTTTATACAATGTCCCATCCTCCAAAATAACTATCTATTTCACAATAATATCACAAAATGTATATCTATAGTGAAATGATTCCATATTCCCCCTTCCTCATGGTCAACATGGTCATTTTAGCCACAATAAAAGTGCTTAACAATGACAACTACAACAGAAAGCATGCCATGGAGAAGCTTCTTTATTTTCATTGTATAGTTTCCCAGTCGGATTTTCTTGTTTAAAGGTCTAAAGACACTTCATTTATTTTTTATTATTATTATTTTTAAATATGTCTTTATTGATTTCAGGGAGAGGGAAGGAGAAGGAGAGAGATAGATAGAAACATCAATGATGAGAGAGTCATTGATCAGCTGCAGCCCGCAACCCGGGCATGTGCCCTGACCGGGAATCAAACCCCGATCACCTGGATGCTAGGTTGACGCTCAACCGCTGAGCCACGCCCAGCTGGGCTCAAGACACTTCATTTAATAGTACTTATGTGTATTCTAAAGCATGAAAATTTTCTTTCTCTAGAAAATGCCAGAAATGTTATCATCAGAAAAGTGGAAAATGTACAAGTAAGATGAGAATTCTTATAGCCAAGGCAGAGGAGGACTTGCTCTCAGATTTAACCAATGAGAGAGCTAGGACTTCATCTCTTCCCAACATTTGGCAGACACTGAATATTATCATCATAAAATGAACTTTAAAGATAGGAAAATAAACCTGAAATTTCATTCTTTAAGTGTAATTATTTTCCATCTTGATTTTTCAAACATTTAATAGTCACTTTTTTTTAATGAGCTGAATTACAATGCAGGAATAAAAATTTCTCAGCACTGATATTAAACATTTCAGTAATATTGATATTAAGTAGAGGTTCAATTCCAACTGAGGTCAGTAGAGGAACCAGGAGTACCAGCTGCGGTGATGTTTAAGATGCACTTTCTCTCTAGAGACTAACATGAATCTATAAAGAAGACTTTTAGGAGGCATTTTTGTAAATTTTCTTGTATTATTAATGGGGAAAAATAGGTTTGGGTACCTCTTTTTCCCCATATCCTTTTTAACTTTATTGTTTTTATATCCCTTGTTAAGTTTGAATCAAAGATGAATTACCTAAGATATCTTTGCACAAGATCTCTTGGTTTTTCCTTTTCACTGAATTCCTAAGTGGTAAAGTTGACATTTTGCTTTTAGTTTATCCTCACAAGATACGAAATGTTTACAAGTTGACATTTTCTTGAAACCCTTGTGTCCTGAGTGGAATTAAATATGGTTATAAAAGGTTATTTTGGAAAGTGTGATGAATGATAGTTTACTAAACAATTTTACAAAGAATAGAATTCTCCTCTGATTTAATCTTTTATAAACATCTGTTGACTCAAAATGATATTATATTCCTAAAGATATATAGCTTTAGTACTCTCTTAATGTTCATATTAACTTCAGTCTATTTCTTTTATTTACCACTTTAAAGTACTTAATCATTGTTTTGCACATAAAATTAACAGAAATAAAAATTCTCATTAGTTTCTACAATATTTTATTTTATAATTATGAGGGTGCATTTACACTTCAGAATTTTAACATGTTTAGCACACAGAACAGTTCTGTAAGTTATATGTAGAATCCTTATCAACATTTGAAAGAAAACATTTATATATTAACAATAAATTTAAAATAAATTATATCTTATTTATGTTATAGATTTATATCCTATTTACTGATTAAATATGATGATCATCAACATGATCACAAGGTCATCATTCAGAAATGTGCAGCCATTTAGATCTTCTGTTTCCCAAAGATCAAGGCTGAAACTGAACTGAAAAATAAGATACCTATTTGGGCCAAAGTTCAACTTCATTACATCTCTCTTCTCTCTAACAACCATGAAATCAAGATAATGTATAAAAGAAAATGGTCAAGGGCTTCAGAAACTGACATTTTCTCTATTTATATTATTATATGTGTAATTATTTTCTGTAATCATATCTACGTCTTGAATTTTCAAGCAATATGCAAGACATATGCCAGCAAATCATAATGTCAAGGTGTTTGTAAAAATCCAATTCAGCCTGTTATTGGTACCAAGAGTATCAAGAGTAGGGCTGAAGTGAAAACAAAGGCACCATGTCTGGCTAGAGGGGACACTTTATTTATAGCGTTACACCTTCACTTTAATATGTTGGCATCATGTGAGTGGGCAACATACAATCTTAAGCCTAGCTTTTAGGAATAATGTTTCCTTTGTTGGTTTCTTCTTCTAAAATATAACCACATATGAATAAACAATTTAAAAAAATAAAACTTTTAGAAAGCCTTAAGTGCCTCAGTGCACTCATTTTAATTCACAAAATCTGCCTGTTACAGCCACTGTCCATTACTGTAATAACCTATTTCCCTTACTAAGCAGTGAGGACAGAAGAGTGAGCAGTAGACAAAGCCTTCACCACCTGCTTAGAGGTGTTTGTCCTCAACAATTATCCAAAGGTTTTATCTTCTTCTTGTGGCTCCTTAGTATATTTTATTTTATTTTTATTTTATTTATTCTATTTTATTATTTTATTTTATTTATTCCATCCCCTCTACTCCCTCTTCCACCTCCACCCTTCCCCCTGCAATTGTATAGCTCCAGCCAGCTTACCCTTGAAAACCTCCTCCAGAGTAGGATTTTAAAGCATTAAGTAAACTTTGCAAACTCAAATAGCCCCTCCCCCCAATACAGATTTTATATACATCATATAGTAAAAATGGATGTGTCCTAATCACAAAAGGACATTCTAATGTGTTTTAAGAAAGAAAGAAATGCTGACTATTATGGGTATCTAACTGGTAAGTTGCGTTCACTAAAAGCAGAGCTTTGTCCCTTTGTTGGTCCCCTGTCTGGTTTGAAGGCCACCTTATCTGAAACAATATTCACTACATGAGGACTGTATGTCAGGAATTATTCTTAATATTATTCAGATTAAAAAGATGACTGGGAGTTAGATGCTTCCCTTTAGAGTTTAAGAATGGGCCTTGTAGAGAGTGAGGACTCAATGAATGTTTCATAAATAAGCAAATTAATTAATTATAGGAGTCTGCAAGTTTCTTTTTTTTTTTTTCTTTTAATCCTCACCTGAGGATATTTTTTCCATTGCTTTTTCAGAGAGAGTGGAAGGAAGAGAGAGAGAGACACTGATGTGAGAGAGACATATCAATTGGTTGCCTCCCTCCTGCCCCAGCCAGGGCCAGGGATCGAACCTGCAACTGAGGCATGTGCCCTTGGCTACAATCAAACCTGAGATCCTTCAGTCCANGATCGAACCTGCAACTGAGGCATGTGCCCTTGGCTACAATCAAACCTGAGATCCTTCAGTCCATGGGCCAATGCTCTAACCACTCCCCNTGAGGCATGTGCCCTTGGCTACAATCAAACCTGAGATCCTTCAGTCCATGGGCCAATGCTCTAACCACTGGGGAAACTGGCTAGGGCAGCAAGTTTCTTTTTAATTTATGTTTATTTGGAAGTCTAAATGTCATAAGTAAACCAACAAAATGAAATGTGATTCTGACCAAAAAAAAGGCATGTTATTCCTACGTCATGTTGACCAGGTCATTTTTCCCATTGGGAAAAATATAATGATTTTATTTAATGAATTTATTTTTTTTATAAAAAAATGTGTATAAATTTCATTTTAGTTAGGTTAACAGGGAGAAAAATTGCCAAATGTCCCAGTGCCTCTTGATTGTTTTAGCTATATGTTATATTTATGGAAAAGAGATTTCAGATGTTCCAAGAACAATTTTCCTGGTTCTTCTCATTACAAAATTGTAGATATGATTTTAAATCATTTGTTTCACAATAATATTTTTGTACATTTAAAAATCCCTAAGTAACAAACTAGTAAAAAATTGTTTTTTGGTCCTATCATACAAAATGTGTGTGTGTGAGCACACAAATAGGATATGTGTGTATATGGGTGTGTTTTCATCCTGTCACCCAAGTGTTCAGGACTTACATTCTGCATTTTGGACAAAAGGAGCTGCAAAATGGACAACTTAAAGACAGGCAAAGGTTTACCGAGTACCTCTATAGAGGGATTACAGCCCACCTCCAGATTTGACTTACTTTTATTTATTCCTTGGCAGGTGAGATGAAATAGTGATTAATAATAATGTCATCTATCTTATCAAATTAGGAACAATCAACAACCAATCCTCACAAACATCTCCGCTACCAACACTTCTTTCATTAAGCACTACAGTTAAAAGTGAAGGTGAGTAATAACGTTTTGCCGCCATTTTTCTTTTCTATATATAATTTGCATGCCATAATGGTATAATATCATATACCATACTGCGCACCCTTTTAAAATACACAATTCAGTGGTTTTTAGTATATTCATGAGAATATGTAACCATCACCATGCTCTGATTTCAGAATATTTTCATTGCCCCCTGTATCTGTTGCTAATCATTCTCTATTCCCACTTCTCCCAGCCCCTGGCAACCACTTTCTGTCTCTGTAGATTTGCCTGTTCTATAAATTTCATAAAAATAGAATCATATGATCTACGACCTTTTGTGTCTGGTTTCTTTCACTTAGAATAATGCTCTTAGGTTCATCCATGTTGTAGCATGTTTCTGTAGATCATTCTTTTCTATGACTGAATATATCATTATATGGATCACTGTATTTTGATGATCTGTTTATTAGTTGATGGACATTTGGGTTGTTTCTACATTTTGGCTATTACAACTAATGCTGCTAAGGACATATGTGTACAAGTTTTTGTGTGACCGTGTGTTTTCATTTCTCTTGGGTATATACCTCTAAGTGCTGAGGCACATGGTAACTCTATATTTAACTCTTTGAGGACTAATTTCCAAAACAGCTGCATTGTATTACATTCCCACCAGAAATGTATGTGGGTACAAATTCTCCATCTTCTAACCAGTACTTGTTGTCTGTCTTTTTCATCATAGTCATTCCAGGGGGCGTGAAGTGGTATCTCATTGTGGTTTTCATTTACATTTTCCTGATGACTAATGACATTGAGCATCTTTTCATGAACTTTTTCGCCATTGTGTATCTTCTTTGGAGAAGTGTCTATTTAAGTGTTGTCCCCCCTTTTTTAAATTGAGTTATTTGTCTTGTTGAGTTGTAAAAGTTTTTTATACATTTTAGGCTAAATCCTCATTGGGTAGATAACTTGCAAATATTTTCTTCCATTCTGTAGGTAGCCCTTTCATTTTCTTGATGGTATCCTTTGAAGGACTAAAATCTCTAATTTTGATGAGTAAAATGTATTTGTATTTCCTCTGATCATGTAGAGGAAGCAAAACTTTACCTATCATAGGTTTCCAGCTGGGACCTGTGGCAAAAAGACATACAAACCAAAGAAAAAAAGTTTATTAACACAGGCAGTGCACATTATGTGCTATATCTAAAACAAAGTTACTCAAAGCAGTGGCTTAGAATTCAGCTAGTATAGTCTTCAACAACAACAACAACAACAAACCCAATGAATTTGTTAAAAAAAAAAAAAAGAATGACAGGACAAAGGAAAACTGTCCAGCCTCCCAGCCGGGGCAAGCTGAGGGAAGACAAATAGATAAATATATGAAAGGAAACTAATGGACTAAGTTTTGTTTGCAAATTCCTCTGGCGCCTTTCTGGCCTGATAAGAGTCTGTCTCCAGTAAAAGGAGAATTTACATCCCGCCTTTAGGCAGAAAGGGGAAGCTTTTTCTGCATTTGCTGCTCCTTAATTTAAAATTTTTATGTCAAAGAGGCATATTTTGGGCTGACATTCTAGTATTTTTTAGTCACTTGTAGAGTGGGTTCAAATCTAAGAAACCATTGTTCAACTCAGGTTACAAGATTTACACAAATATATTCTTTTAAGAATTTTATAGTTTTAGCTCTTATATTTAAGTCTGATTTTGTATATGGTGTAGGGTAGGTATCCGGCTTCCTTCTTCTGCATGTAATTATCCAGTTGTCCTAACACCATTTGTTGAAAAGACTTCTTTCCTGATTTGAAAGAATCACTCTTGATAAAAATCAATTGGCTATAATTGCATGAGTATTTTCTAGACTCTCAAGTCTCCATTTATCTATATGTCTACCCTTATCCAGAATCATCACTCCTGATTACTATAGTTTTGCATTGTTTTGAAATCAGAAAATGTGAGTGCTTCAACATTTTTCTTCTTTTTCAAGATTGTTTTGGCTATTTTGAGTAACTTGAATTTTCATATAAATTTTAGGATCAGTTTGTCAATTTCTGCAAGAAGTCAGTTGAGATTGTGATAAGGATTGCATTGAATCTGTTCAGGAACATCAATTTAGGAAACATTGCCATTTTAACAGTCTTAATTGTTCCAATCCATGAATGTGAGATGCCTTTCCATTTATTTAGGTCTTTTTAAGTTTCTTTTGATAATGTTTATAGTTTTCAGTCTAGAATATTTGCTCTTCTTTTGTTCAATGTATTCCTAATATTTTATTCATTGTGATGCTGTTATAAATGGAATCATTTTATTAATTTTATTTTGAGCTGTTCAATCTTACTATATAGAAATACAATTTTTTTTTTCAAATAATATTATATCCTGCCATCTTACTGAACTCATTCATTGGCTCTAATTTGTGTGTGTGAGTGTGTGTGTGTGTGTGTGTGTGTGTGTGTGTGTGTGTCCTTAGGATTTGCTATATCCAAGATTCATCTGCAAATAGAGACAATTTTACTTCTTGACCCAGCCATCCTACTTCTTTTCTAACCTGGATGCCTTTTATTTTATTTTCTTGCTTATCTGCCCTGGCTAGAACCTTCAATACAACACTGAATGGAAGTGGTGAGAGGGGATATCTTTGTTTTGTTCCTAATTATAAGGGAATGCTTTCAGTCTTTAATCATTAATATGATGTTATTTGGGTTTTTCACAGATGCCCTTTATCAGGTTAAGGAAATCCTCTTCTATTACTAGTATGTTGAGTGTTTTTTATCATGCAAGGCTGTTGGATTTTTGTCATATGCATTATCTTACTATACTGAGATTATTATGTGTTTTTTATCTCTTATTTTATTAATATGGCATATGAAGTTGATTTCTTTATGCTCAGTAAACTTACATTCCTGGGTGAATCCCACTTGGTTATTGCATATAAATATTTTTATATGTTTCTGGGTATGATTTGTATTATTTTGTAAAGAATTTTTGTACCTACATTTATAAGATACAGATTTATGGTTTTCTTTTCTTGTGATGTTTTTGTCTGATTTTGGCATGAGGCTAGTACTAGTCTCATGAAATGAGTTGGGAAGTGTTCCCTTCTGTATCAGTTTTTGAAAGAGTTTATGAAGAATTATTCTTTAAACATATGTCAAAATTTATCAGTAAAGCTATCTGGTCTGGCTTTTCTTTATGGAAAATTTTCGATTACTATCTCAACCTCTTTGTTTGTGATAGGTCTATTCAGATTTTTCTATTTTTTCTTGACTCAGTTTGCTAGTTGGTGATTTCTTAAGAATTTGTTCATTTCCTCTAGATTATCTAATTTGTTGGCACTCAATTGTTCATAGTATTGCCTTATAACCCTTTTTATTTCTATTAAGATGGTAATAATGTCTTTTCTTTCATTCATTATTTTAGTAATATGAGGTCACTATCTAAAACATTTTTAGATTGTTTTAATGTTTTCATTTAAATATTATTATTTAAAGATAGGAAAACTGAGTTTCAGAAAGGCTAAATGACTTCATTTTTAAAACACACAAATTTTATAACAATTTTGAATTTGAAATCTGTCCTTTAAGTTCAAATTTTTATTTATTATTTAACAAATTCATAACTACATATTTCTTACTGAATTGATATTATTTTAATCTCAGTTCAATCTCAATTGTCTTAACTATTAGATAGTGATCTCTCCAGGTATTAATAAGGCTCACATAGCATTTTTTTCTCCCACCACAAAGTGGTCACCAAATTCTGTAATTGTGGGTGTGTTTTTTCTGGTTTTGATACAGGTTCTTGTTTTTCCCCTGCTCCCAGGCTATCCCTTTGGTCATATTGTCAGCCTGCTATGGATGGTTATTTCTTTTAAGTTACTCCTTTAAGTGGGAGCAACTTAACACACACAACAAGAACAACAACTAGTTAGAATTGTGTTTACAAAAGAAGTCCAGGTGAAATTTCATGTTCTTGAGCATAGTGTAGAAATATTACTCGCACATGAATTTCACAGTGACAGTAAATCTTATTTCTGCCTGCTTTTCTGATGTTCTTCATCTTGCTTTTAGTGTGGATAGGCAAGGTTACCATTTTGGAGCCTCATTATTGAGTAAGGCTACTGTTGTCAAAATTTTTTTTACTTGGCTGAAACATATTCAAAGAAAATCTTATTGGCAAGTACAAAATGCCAATATATGAAACAAGTAGAAGTTGAATTGCTCAATTTTAAACAGTGTTGTGGTGGTGTAGGGCAAGGTAGGGTGGACTTCTACCTATTTCTCAATCTTACCACTAAAGGTGATCCATGAAGCTTCGCCACTGAGCCCTTAGGGCTACAGCAGCACAGATAAAAGTTCCTGAAATGGGATATTATGTTTACTTAAATTCCATTCATAGTTTTAAAAAAGTATAAGCTATAATCAGGAAACAAACAAAGCAGCCCATTTTCACCCACCACCTGACCTGACCCCATTGCATAATTGTTGTGAACCACAGTTTTCAAAAGGACAACTCAAATGTTTCAGAAGCTTTTAAGGTCCCCATAAGCATCACTGCTAATTATTCACTGATATGTAAAACCTTGTAGGTAAATAGAATCACTAGATAGGAGACAATAAAGGTGAAGCCCCTACCAATATTTTCTCTAGCTCCAATAAACACTGTTAAAATAGATTTTAAGGAAGTAGAAAGTAAACATCTACTTGTTAGTAAAGTCTCTAAGGAAGAGCAGAGAGATTGAAAAAGAATACCAAATTACTGGATTCCTCTGAAGTCACCAAACTACCCCAATCCGTCTGATTTCTGGGGTACGTATGCAAAGAGCATCACTAAGTACAACTTTATTCCTGGCCTAAGATCAGTCCCAAAGTCCTATATAAACTTACCTTGGTAAACTGGGGTAGATAATGGATAGATCTGGAGACACCTAAACACCCTATTTGCCTAAGTGGCAGGGAGCTCTTCAGTGGTCTGTTCTGGCTCACTGTCCTTGGGGTACTACTCAGGTTTTAACTGGTCTTGCAAGAAGGAGGACAGTGGTAAACATACAATTCCAAAGGGCCATTAACACCTACCTTAACTCACCATCTAAATAATATGAAAAAGAGAAAGAAATATAAAATTCACATTAAAATAAAACTCTCCCTCTTCTTGTCTCCTGCTGAAAGCTGTAGTTTTATTTTACCTATATTTTTTTACCACCACCATTTCGTTTCCTTCAGAATCTTTGAAACTCTCTTATAGACTGGTTCCTTAGGAGAGAAAGACTGAAGGAGATGAGATCTTAAGTTCTTGAATTGTTCAGGTGTTTGCTACCCTCCTTCACATCTCTTTTATGAGTGTTTTGCTTTTTTCTCTTGGGCTTAGCGTTTAAACTTATCTACAGTCTAAGGTATTGCTTTTCACTTCAAGGGAGGAGATTAGGAGAATCTAAGCAAAACGTTAAGAAGCTTCTTTTCCACGTCAGCTTTGACAGATCTCCCTAGGACCAGTGGTATAAACATTTATGCTCCTCACAATCTTTCTATGAGTGACTCTTTAATATTTCTCCAAAAGTCAGTTAAATGAATCAGGACATTAATTTAGCTAATTTATCCAAGACTCCCCATGTTATCACGGGGACAGAATTTCTATGGAATTCTAGTACATAAAGTGATCCCTGAAAATGAAGGTTCTTGGGAAATTACTTTAGAAAATACTACCCCCTTGAGTTTTGCAATGCACAATAACATTTTTTTAATCTTAGTAATACTAACACAAAGACATTCATTTGATTTTAAAATCTATAAAAACTATGCAGCTTCAAATAATTTGACTATAAAAACATATTTTTTTGAAACCAAATAACACACTATAGTACTAATATTCCCACACCTTAAATTTCTAAAGTAATTAATGTTCACACTTACTACTTTCTCCATCAAATTTAATGTCCCAGAATATACAAGATGAATCCCAAATTAGTATTTTCAAGACAATTATAAAACAGCCTCTATCCCTCACACTCTTTCTGCTCAGCCTAGCCAATAGTTGGCTAGGGTATGGTTGGAATCAAGGTCTTTTCTCTGTACTTACACTCCAGTATTGGTGTGTCTCTCTCAAGTATCTCTTGTGTTAGATTTTCCTTATTCCAATTCAAATATGGATTAAAAATTACTTATATTTTGTCTTTCATGCATTCCACCTAAAACAAAGTTCTAAGAATTTAAAAGTCATGAATTTCAAAAACACAAATCCTAAAAGTAAAGCCAATATATATCGATTTTGCAATATAAATTTCTCAACTAAAATAATGTTCATCAAACCTAATACATATATTATTAACTAGAGTTAAGTGCAATGAGAACCTGTAGACCAAAGCAGACACATGCTGGTATTT